TTGCCAAGAGAATCAATGTGCGTATTGAGCATATTAAACATTCTAAGAGCAGAGATAGCTTCCTAAAACGTGTGAAGGAAAATGACCAGAAAAAGAAAGAAGCCAAAGAGAAAGGTACCTGGGTTCAACTAAAGCGCCAGCCTGCTCCACCCAGAGAAGCACACTTTGTGAGAACCAATGGAAAGGAGCCTGAGCTACTGGAACCTATTCCCTATGAATTCATGGCATGATGGGTGTTAAAAATAAACTAATCTGTGGTCTATAAAAAAAAAAAAAAGAACTCTGTCCCCACAAAGGCCGTGGAGTGCCTTCCACCGTGAAATCACTATGCAATGTCTGTAACCCCCTCAGTAGTATATGCTCAGCAACGTGAGAATCCAGGGGGCTCCAGAAGCTGAGCGTGTGTGGAGTGCATGGGTGCAGCTGGGCATGTGGGGTACGTGGGGTGCACATGTGCATGTGCCTCAGCTCTAGTAGGGAGGTTGGCCAGAAAGGACCTAAGTTTCATCTCCACCACAGTAAGTTTCTGCGAGTTGCTCAAACATGTGCGTGCATGCTGTTTGAAGCAGAGGCAGCAGGACCAGCAGTTAGCGTAATGGCTATGTCACTGAACTCCCCTGTAGCTGACTGTGGTTCGAGTCCTGGACCCGTGGCTTAAACTCACACTGGATGCGTGTGCGTGCGTGCCCAAGATCCCAAGAGGAGAATGGAGGAGAAGGGATTGCGGCATGGCCATCCCCCCTGGAGGGTGATTTCTCGCCTTCTATCTCTCTCAGTCTGTCTTTCTGGTGAGCACACGCACCCTATAGCAAAAACTTCTCAAAAAAAAAAAAAAAAAAAAAAAAACAGAGGCAGCAACAGAGCGAGGCCAGGTGGGTGCCCAGTGGGATGGCATTTCCACAGCCCGAGCATCCTGTGTATGGCATCACACAGTACCTGGTGAGCAACGCCACCTGGAGCTGAGAGAAGCTGCAAGCTGCTCCCTAGGAGACTGCCCTGCGGAGCACATCAAAGATAAAGGGTGACCTGATAGCTGGGTCTACAGGGCTGGCCCCACAGCCTCATGGGGAAGGGAGCTGAACCCCTCACAGCTGGCTGCATGGCTAAGTCCCAGCCCTAGCAGCTCAAAGAGTACACCAGGCAAGGGAATATGCATGCACAACATTCCAACAGGACAGGAAAATAGAGGTGAGGGGCTTGCAGTGTGACCACCCTACTGGGGAGCATTCTCCCTCTCCCTCTGGAGAGCATGCATGCCCTCCAGCAAGAAAAAAGAAAGAATAGAAATTTTGGGAATCATGTAGTTCTGGTTTTGGCTTTCTGCTGTACAAACAACATGAGTGTGTTTAAAAAGAGAGGCCTTACCTTTCAGAGATGTGTACTGAGACATTACTAGATAAAGTGGTATCTGGGTTTGCCTTAAAAGAATCCCCGAGGTGGAAAAAAGTGGGTAGAGGTAGAAACCAATCAAAAGCAAACAGGTGAGCACAGGTGATACACTACAATCTCTTACTTCAGTACTCCTTTGCAGCTTCTTGCACTAAGACACACTCACATGGTATCTCCAGAATAATGGTAGGTAACCAACAAACATGTCATAAGAACAAAGAAAAGCCTATTTACACATATGTGGTAAAGAAACCATACAATCATGTTAATTGTGGCATTATTCACTATTGCTAAGACATGGAACCATCTCAAAGAACAGATGAGTGGATTGGAAAAATGTGGCACATATACACTATGGAATACTACTCAGCAATCAAAACCAAGACTTTAGCATTAAATAGAAAGTAGATGTGGGGCCAGTAGGTGGCGTGGTGGTCAAGGTGCTGGACACTCCCACATGGCCAACCACAGTTTGAGTCTAGGTTTTGGTGGCTTGCTTTCTCTCCCCCACCCCACTCACTCTCCTGCTCACTCTCCCTCTCTTTCTCTCTCTGTGTCTCTCTCTGCTCAAATTTAAAGAACAAATGAACAAGTAAATAAAATTAAATAAATAATTCTTAAAAAAAAAAAAATAGATGAACATGGAAGATTTACTGCTAAGCAAAGTAAGCCAGACTATGAAAGAGAGAATCGTATGTCCCCACCCAATATATACTGAATGTCCCAACTATGGCAGAAACGGAAAGACTGGAAGATATAAAAGCATGGAGTACAATTGTGGATACTAGAGACAGTGTGGGAGGAGGGTGGGAAATGGGGTAGGGTGAGAGGAAGAGAATCAAGGGGAAAAAGAAAGACGCAAACATTTAAGAGACAGAGAATTAAAAAAAAAAAGCTGTTGATGTTAATGTGTATAATGATACCTTTAAGTGGATTAATATACAGTATATTCATGCTGGAAAAATTCATTTTACAAGCTGTAATGATATACAGTGGTTGGAGGCTAGCAGGAGGCATGGTGATTAAGGGTGCTGGACTCTCATATGGCCAACTGTAGTTCAAGTCCCGGACCTGTGGCTTGCCTTCTCACTTTCTCTCTCTGTCTCTCTCTTTCTCTGTCCCTCTCTAGTCTAATCAAAGTAAATAAAGTTTTAAAAAATTATTTTAAAAAATGATACACAGTGGTTGAATGTATAAAAAAATAAATAAAATAAACTAGGGGTGGAGAGAATATCATACGAGGGGCCAGCAGGTGGCCGAGCGGTTAAGGCGCTGTACTCCTAAATGGCTGATTGTGGTCTGAGTGCTGAACCCAGGAGCTTGAAATTCACACCAGATGCACATGCACACATGCCCAAAACTCCAAGAGGAGACTAGAGAAGAATGGACGGTGCATGGCCATCCCCCCTGGGGAGGGAGATTTCTCGCTTTCTGTATCTTGGTCTCTCCTGTGAGCGCACATGCCCTATAACAAAAAAATCTCAAAAAAAGAAAACCATACAAAATAACAGTCAATGAACTAAGTGGAATAGTTTTTTTCTCTTATTCCCAAGATTTTCTCAATGTACAGCTTTTTTTTTAACTTTTAAAAATAAGCTTAAACTACATTTCTTAATGATAAAGCTCATGAGCACTTGCTTAGTTCTCCGTTACTGAAGTTCCAGACTATCAGACCTTCGACCCTGACCGTCTCAGGACCTAACAGTACCAGGCCAGCAAGAACAAGCAAAGGCCAAAGTGCTGAGTGTGCCTCTCCAAGCTGCCACAGGAAAGAAGTAATGAATGCAATAACCAGAACTTTGGGGCAGGCGGGTTTGTCTGTGTTCTTAAACATGCCCACGCATCGCTGAAGTACACGAAACACATAAGACATCATCTCCAGAACAAACAATCCAAAGATAAGGCCTCTTCACAGACAACTAAACTTCTCTTATCCTTTTTCTGAAAACTATCATTTTCTGGCTTTTCTTTCCCTGCTATTTTCCCTTGGCCACTATTTCCTGATCCCTACCAATCACTATGGTTTGAAAGCGTGGATGAACGCAGGAGGTGAGAGAAACCGCAGGAGTGGCGCTGGCAGTTTTTCCCAAGACAGCTGGAAGAACATGACCTTAAAACAGCACCACTTTCTGCAGACAACAGCTTCTTTATTATGTGAGAGAATTAATACCTGAATGGTCCTTCAGTATTTTCTTTAAAGAATTATTTTACTTAGCTTTATTTTTTTTATATATATATATATTTTAGCCAGAAAGGAACAGGGGAAAAGGAACAGTGAGAAAGGGATAGTGAGAAAGCAAGCCGCCAGGTCCAGGACTTGAACTGCAGTCGGCCATGTGGGAGTCCACTTTCTTAACCACCACACCACCTACTGGTTCCTGAATGGCATTTTAAATTTTAAAAAATGTCTTCTCTCTTAAAGTGCTGATTCAGCACTACTTCTGTCACATAATTAGAATTAATGTTGCCTATATTACTTTGTCAAGAAATGTTAGTACTGAGATTTGAACAGACAGACCTAAAGTCTGCTTACATATATGCACATTTTCTACCTTTTCACAGGTTCAGAGAACAATATAAGCGGAATCTCCAAGAATGGCTTCCACCCACTGGAATGAAACTACGACCTCTGTTTATCAGTACCTAGGTTTTCAAGTTCAAAAAATTTACCCCTTCCATGATAACTGGAACACAGCCTGCTTTGTCATCCTGCTTTTGTTCATATTTACAGTGCTCTCTTTAGTGGCGCTGGCTTTCCTCTATGAAGTGCTAGACTGCTGCTGCTGTGTGAAGAACAAAACTGTGCAAGACTGGAAAAGCCAGCCGAACCCTCTGCGAAGCGTGATGGCCAGCATCCGGAAGCGGGAGACCGAGGTGGTCTAGTGCTTGCAAAAGTCAGGCAAAATCTCTGAGAGCACCCTTCGACTTCTTCTGAGACAAAAGAAAATTTTCTGAGGCCAACTGTTATTACAAAACTGATTCTGACTGAATGATTCAAAGATTCTTAGTGGAAGGAAAAAACAAGTTGAATATGCACTGTGTGTGTGTGTGTGTGTGTGTGTGTGTATGTTAATCTCTTTCATTAAACAGTCAGTAAAACTTCACAAATGTGAATTTACCAATCTATTTAATATGACACTTTAAAAACTGGATAAAAGATTCCTAGAATTCCATACTGAACAAAAAGGTCAACTGGAAAACACAATTAATGATGCTAAAATAATTTACAGCTAAATGATTCAGGTACACTAAAAACCATTTTGCTAACACAAATGCTATTTAAAAGGTGTTTCTTTCTTTCTTTCTATTTCTTATATTAGTGGTAAAGATTTTTGCCATACAGTGCATGCACTAGAGAGAGGAGAGAGTGAGAAAGAAAGTGAGAAATCCCCCTGGGGGGATGGCCACATCACAATCTCTTCTCCTCTATTCTCCCCATTTTGGGTACACATGCACATAAATCAGGTGTGTTTTTCAAGCCACTGGGTCTGAGATTCAACTGTGGAGTTGGCCATGTGAGATCTACTACCTTAACCCCCTGCTGGTCCTAAAATGTGCTTCCAATTCCAAAGTAAGAAGTTTACACTTCGGGCGCGTGTGCGTGTGTGCCCAAGATCCCGAAAGGAGAATGGAGGAGAAGGGACTGCGGTGTGGCCATCCCCCCTGGGGGGTGATTTCCTGCTTTCTGTCTCTCTGTCTGTCTCTGTCTGGCGAGTGCACGCGCCCTATAGCAAAAACCTCTCCAAAAAAAAAAAAGAAGTTTACACTTACACAGTCTCTATTTTATTAAAATGTAATATTTTTCAATCTCCTGGAACAACTTCTCTGCGTACTTTAATGACTTAAGTTTTGTTTTGGAGAGGTTTTTGCTATAGGGTGCATGTACTCTCCAGAAAGACAGAGAGAGACAGAGACAGAAAGCGAGAAATCACCCCTCGGAGGCGATGGCCATGCCGCAATCCCTTCTCCTCCAATCTCCTCTCAGGATCTTGGGCATGCATGCACACGCACCCAGCGTTAGTTTAAGCCACCAGGTCCGGGATTTAAACTGTGGTCAACTACATGGGAGTCCAGCGACGTAGCCATTACACCAACTGCTGGTCCCATGACTTAAGTTTTATGTGAGATTAGTATGACAACGTCACAAGTATACCTGCATAAAATTCACGAAATTGACCTACTATTTGGTGAGAAATATGCCCAGGAAACTCGGACTATTTTCAGATGGAAACTTACTACCCCGAGCTGCCCTGGAGTGTGTTTAGCCATTCTGCCTCTCACACTCGCACTCTCAGATCAGGTACCCAGAGCAGGAGAGGCAGCAGAAGGCTGCAAAGGCCAGGACTGCTCAACGCCTGCTGAGAAGCAGGACGAGGTCTTCCTCGGGAATCCCAGAGCTTTCCAGGTGTCTTCTGCGACCTTCCTGCTGTGTGCATTGCCACGCACAACACAACGTTCACTTGGAGCTGTGGCACTGCCACGGCACTGCCCAGGCCAGAAATGCCACTCCCGTGACAGGAAATAGCTCGGGTTACAAAGATGCTTATAATAGCATTACCCAAAGTAACAAAAATTTGGGGACCAGCCCATGGCTGATGTTGTTAAAGGAAATGGATCTCACATGACCAACTGTGGTTCGAATTCCAGACCCAGGAACTTGAAAAACACACCAGGCACATGTGCACACGTGTCTCAAATCACGACAGAGAGAGTTGAAGAAGGGATTGCCGCATGATCATGTCCCACTGGGAAGTGCTTTCTTTCTCTCCTTCCCTTTGTCTCTGTCTTACTATCTCCTTCTGGTGAGTACCCGGACCCTCTGGCAATTTAAAAATCAAGAATTCGGAAATAACTGAATCTGTAACTAAGTATGACCCATCAACTTAACACTGACATACAAACACCAAAAATGATGGCAAAACAGAAAAACATTGCTAGGTCAAGTGAAAGATACATTCAGAATATAAAACTTTTAATACCATTATGACTGATGTTATAAATTTACATGCATAAGTATAAGACTTGACAACAAACAGAAAGATAGGCTGGTTGAAAAGGCAAGAGGGCTGTGGGGAAAGAATACTAGTACTTCTAGAATGCAGAATGCTTCTTCTCATCTCCATGACTTACGGAACGGTTCTTATGTAATAAATTAGCAGGTGGTGGAGGGAGAGGAGCAGAAGTCTGTGACTTTTGGGACCAGCAGATAGCATAATGGTTATGCCTCTGGATCCCACAGAGTTGACCGTACCAGACCCAGCAGCTTAAAACTCATGCTGGGCACGTGTGTGTGTGTGTGTGTTTGTGTGTGTGTGTGTGTATCCAAGAGGAGAATGGGTTTCACTAGTAAATTCTACCAAACATTTAGAGAAATAAAAACAACCCTTCACAAACTCTTTCACAAAACAGAGGAACAGGGAACCCTGCACAAATCATTCAAGGTCAGAACCACGCTGATAAACAAAACTGCAGATCACGTCCTCCTTATAAAAACCCTGGAGAGGCCCAGACATGGCAGGTCATGCTAACAGATGCTGCTCCTTCCGGGCGCAGGCCACACGGGAGGTCATTTGGTTTCTGGCCAGCCTGCGGTATGCTGATGAAGGCACTAGACCCCACACAACCTACTATGCAGTTCCAGTCCCAGACCCAGTGGCTTAAAACACATACAGTGATAGTGTGGGACCAGCAGATGGCGTAATGGTTATGTTGCCCGATTCCCACATAGTCAACAGGGGTTCCAGTCCCGGATCTGGTGGCTTAAAACTCACACCGGGGGACTAAAACTAAAGATTTTCTGCTGAGACTTCACCTTCCAGACCCTTGATTTTTTTTTTTTTTTTTTTTTAATTCATTCATGCTGGTGTATAGCCTTGGCGGGGGTGAGTTGACTCGTTGGAGGCAACATTGGAAAAGAAGAAGACTAAGGCCTCGGTGTCTTTTTTATGTACATCTTTAGTCGGACATTTTTAGAGATTGTTTTTTGAGGAGTGATAATTGCTAGGAATTACTGTGATTTTTTTTCTTGAAAATGTGATATATGTAAGTAAATGGGTGAGGGGCTATGTGTTTTAATTATTAGTTTAATAGGGATTATAGATTTTATTTAGGGTTGGATTAAGGGTGGGTCTATTGAGGTTTTGTAATTGTTTGATGTAGGTGGGTCTTTATGGAATGTAGGTTTGGGAAAGCAGTTTTAGTAAGTAGAGATAATTAGTTGATGTGGCATGGCAGTCATTTTGTAATTATTAAGCACGATGCTGAGAAAAGAAAATTTTAAGTGTAGATGTTAGTTTTTATGGATTTTAATAAGGAATGATATTTATATAGTTTTGTAGGGATTTAAAACTTAATTTAAGGAATTTTAATATATTTATTTATTTTACTTGGTGAGGGCAGGGGTGCCTTGGGCTAGTTTTGGCCTAATTTGATTTTATGTAAAGAAAAGATCATTTTTAAGCTTATGTTTAATGTATTTTGAAGGGCCTTTTAAAGGTTAAGATTATTTTCATTTAGATAGAACTTTAGCACACTTTTTATTGTGACTATAGAGATAAAGTATTGTAATTAATAGTAGGTGATTAGGGCTGAGGGGAGTGGTTGGGAGACTTTGGGAAAATTTTATTACATATTTAGGATGTATAAGAGAGTTATATAATTTTTTAATAGTAGTATATTAGGGAGTTAGAGGGGGTGTCGCTTTTTAGTAAGGCTACTATAGTTTTTGGAATAAATAGTAAGCGGCCTTGCCAATATGTTAATTTGACTTAAGTTTTATTTTTAGGTTGGGGGGATACACAGCAGCAGCCTTGCCAATGTGCTGGCCTGACCTAAGAGGTAAAGGTTAAAAGTTTAAAACAGATTTTAGAGCCCTATTGGGTCGGACTCCTCTACATTCATTCATTTATTTTAATTTGACCAGAGAGACAGAGAGGGAAAGTGAGAAAGCAAGCCACCAGGACCAGAACTCAAACCGTGATTGGCCATGTGAGAGTTTCCAGCACCTTAACTACCATGCCACCTGCTGGTCCCCAGACTCTTGCTTTTATAAGGGAAAAAAAATTTTTTTTGGTCTTTTTTTTCTTCCTGTTTTCTTTTCCTTTTCTTTTACCTCATCACTTTGCTGCTCAGCCTCCATGCACTGAGGTCTAAGTGAACCGTAGCCAAGTATCCAAATACTATTAGGGTCAACATATTTCTCAATTCCCACTGAATCTGCTGCACAAGGGGAGAAAAATGGAATGGAAGAGAGACTGCAGATCATCTCCTTCTGCAAGCCTCTGAACACTCAGATTGAACTTCAAGAAATTAGGAAGAAATGTATAACCCACCAGATGACCAGAAATCTCCACAGGAACAAAAGAAATATGAGAAGCCAAGAAAATATCTTTCCTCCATTATAAAAGAATAATTTCTCTTCATCCACAGATAGTACAATGAAACTCACAGAAATGTCTAATGAAGAATTTAGAATATTCATAGTGACAAAGCTAACAGAAATGCAAGAGAAGACAGACAATGAACTCTAGAAAATCCAGGAGAAAAGAACCAACAAGTTCCAGGTGAGGAAGTTCTTGCACGATCTGAAAGAGAAATTACACCCCATAAAAAATAATCAACTGGAACTGTTAGAGATGAAGGCTATGAAACGGGAAATCAGAAACTCCCTTGAAAAGATTAAAAGCAAACTACATCATACAAAAGATAGAATCTCAGATGTAGAAGACAGAATCGCTGGCCTAGAAAAATCCACCACAAAGACTGAGAAAATAACAACAAAAATTGAGAATAATATACAAGAAATACTAGATATCATTAAATGTCCAAACATCTGAATAATCAGTACCCCAAAAGGTGAAGAGTCTAATAAGGGCATTGATAATCTATTCCATGAAATCCTGGAAGAACATTTTTCAAATCTAGAGAGGCATTCAAAGATCCAGAACCAAGAAATACAAAGGAGCCCAAAGAGAATCAACCCAAGAAGATCTTCTCTAAGACACATTATAGCCAGATTGACCAAAACCACAGACAAAGACAAGGTACTCAGACTGGAAAGAGAAATGTCAGGTTACCAAAAACAAAAACAAAAACCCAAAAAAACAAAACAAAAAAATGGGACCAGCAGTTAGCATAATAGCTATGTCGCTGGACTCCCATGTAGTCGACCATGGTTCGCGTCCGGACCTGGTGGCTTAAAACTCATGCTGGGCGCATGTGCGTGCGTGCCCAAGATCCCGAGAGAATGGAGAAGGGATTGTGGCGTGCATGTCCCAAATTCTGAGAGGATAATGAAGAGGCAACTGTGGTGTGACCACACCCGGGAGGGTGATTTCTTGCTGTCTCTCCCTGTCTCTCCGGCGAGCACATGTGCCCTAGAGCAAACATCTAAGAAAAAAAGAAAATACAGTGTGCATGTGGGCGTGCCCAAAATGTCAAGAAGAGGATGTAGAGACGGGACCAGCAGTTAGCGTAATGGCTATGTCGCTGGACTCCCACGTAGTCGACCACGGTTTGCGTCCCAAACCCGGTGGCTTAAAACTCACGCTGGGCGTGCGTGCACGTGTGCCCAAGATCCCGAGAGGAAAATGGAGAAGGGATTGCAGCATGGCCATCCCCCCTGGGGGGTGATTTCTCGCTTTCTGTCTGTCTGTCTGGCGAGTGCATGCGCCCTATAGCAAAAACCCCTAAAAAAAAAAAAAGAAAAGAAAAAAGAGGATGGAGGGAAAGTGACTGCAGAGTGGCCATCTCCCTGGGTACTTTCCCATTTACTTTCTCTCTTTTGCTCTCTCTCCCCTGCAAGTGCAAGCACCCCCATTTTTTAAAATGGGGCCAGCAGGAAGTGTGATGGATAAAGTGATGGACTCCCACATGGCCTATTCGCGGTTCAAGTCCCAGACCTGGCAGCTTGAAACTCATGCCAGCAGCATGTGCCTGAGTGCCCAAAATCTCAAGAAAAGAAAGGACTGTGGTGTGGCCACCCCCCCAGGGGGTGATTTCTCACTTTTTGTCTGAGTGCACTTGCCCTATAACAAAAATCTCTCCCAAAAAAAGACTGAGGGCCAGCAGGTGGTGTGTCAGTTAGGACGCTGGACTTCCACAAGGCTGAACACAGCTGAGCAGCTTGTGTGTGTGTGTGTGTCCACCCCAAATCCCAAGAGAACGGGAAGAGAAAGGATTGTGGCATGGCCGTCCCCCCAAGGAGTGATCTCTCACTTTCCTTCTCTCTATCCCTGTCTCTCCCCAGAGAATAAACACACCCTATGGTGAAAACCAAAAAAAAATAGAAGACTGCTTTTCCCTAAGATCAGGGACAAGGCAGAGGTCCATATTCTCACTAACTGTGTCCACCATCACAGCAGCCAGGGCAGAGAGGCAAGAAAAAACAAGCAAAAGACATCTATCTATATATATATGTATTTTTTTTTTTTCCAATTTGCCAGAACGTACATGCACTCCCAGGGCAGCAATACCCCCTTCTCCCTTTCTCTATCCCACTGGGATCTTGGGCACATATGTACATTTTCCCAATGTGTTTCTTATTTTAAAGAAACTATTAATTTATTTAACTTTATTTATTTATTTTAATTTGACCAGAGAGGAACAGAGAGAGAGAGAGAGAGGAAAAGTGGAAAAGCAAGCCACCAGGTCCAGGACATGAACTGCAGTCAGCCATGTAGAAGTCCAGTACCCTTAACAAAGGGATCTTGAGCACATATAAACACACGCCCAGCTTGAGTTTAAGCCGCTGGATCCGGGACTCGAACCACAGTCGACTACATGGGAGTCTAGTGACATAGCCATTACGTCAACTGCTGGTCCTCCCCCTCAGTGTCATTGCATTCAGGATTTGAACCACATGGTAGTCCATGTAGGATCCAGCAGCCTTAACCACCTGGCCATGGCCCCTCTTAGGGGAAACCTTACAAAGTTATTTTTTAAGAGGTCAACTTAAATTTTAACTATAAGACTCGAGTTTGAATTCTATTTTCATCCTATCCCTTACATTTAACAAAGTGCCTAACAATCAATACAAATGTTAAACCAAAAAACGAACATGCCACAACTAAACAGTTTTCTGAAAATAAAAATTAAAGTGTCCTAAGCAGTTTTACTCACCAGAATTTTGCTTAGTGCTTGATGATCCTCCATGTTCTACCTTTGCTTTCTTCTTTTTTGAGGATGATGCTGATGACTCAGACACTGAACGTTTTTCTACTACTGGAGTGGAAAGCGCTCGTTTTTTGAACAGCTCCCGTTCTCTCAACAGGCTTGGATCCATACTGCTGCAAAGAAAAATGTAAGTATCTTTGACAAAGATTCAAGTCACTCAAACCTATACACTACATCCATAGATCTCAATAACTTATACTTTCCAAAGAGAATTACCTTTTACTGTTTGTTCTTTACTCTTATATTTATACACTCCTCTTTACTCAGAAAATATTTAATGTGCCAAGCACGGTGCCAGGCACTCACAGAGAAAATTAAAATTACTCTCTGAAGTTCTGGAACTGTGCTGTCCCACATAGTGGCTACTTTTGGTGCCTACTGAGCATCTGAAATGTAGCTAGTAAGAACTGAGATGCACTGAGTGTAAAGTATACACCAGATTCCAAAGACTCATTACAAAGAAAAGAATTTTATGTACTAAGGAGATATTTTATTTTGATTCTATGTTGAAATGATAACATTTTGGAAACATTCGGCTTAATAAAATTTAACTTTACCAAAAGTTTGTTTGTTTGTTTTTTTTTTGGAGAGGTTTTCGCTACAGGGTGTGTGTGCTCGCCAGAAAGACAGAGAGAGATAGACAGAGAGAAAGAAAGCAAGAAATCACCCCCAGGGGGGATGGCCACGCCACAATCCCTTCTCCAGTCTCCTCTTGGGATCTTGGGCACGCATGCACATGCGCCCAGTGTGATTTTAAGCCACCAGGTCCAGGACTCGAACCGTGGTCGGCTACGTGGGAGTCAAGCAACATAGCCATTATGCTAACTGCTGGTCTCAGTGAACAAGAATTTTTAAGACGTTCCTCTCAAGCTCAGCCAGAGTACCACAGGCACAGGGCACCACCCTGTCATGCTGAAGCCACATGGAAAAGATGTCAAGACCAGGAACGGCAGGTTTGCCTGCAGGTGGCTGGAGGTGGGGATGGTCACACAAGGCAGGACCCCGTCTCGAGTCTGAGCCTCCTGTCTCCCTTTGTCCTGTCCTCCCTCTCGCTTTCTCTTCTCAAGGAAAAAAAAAAAACAAAACACTTAACTTTTCTGAAGTCTCCCCAGGACCCTGTGAAGGGTCTAGGAAGAGCTCGAATGGATCACAGGAAAGAATGTGACACTGTGGAAACCAGCC